CATGAAAAGAGCTTTTGAAATGAGCCTTATGGGTGAACTAAACTTCTTTCTTGGACTACAAGTTAAACAAACCAATTCGGGAACCTTCATAAGTCAAAGTAATACCTTCATAACATGCTAAAACGTTTCAACTTTGGAAATCTCAAGTCTGCTCCTACTCCCATGGGTTCTTCAACTAAACTATCAAAAGATGAAACCGGGAATAACGTTGATCATAAACTTTTTAGGCGGATGATAGGTTCTTTACTATACTTAACAGCCAGTCGTCCAGATATAATGTATAGTGTGTGTGTATGTGCTCGTTTTCAAAGTCAGCCTAAAGAGAGTCATCTATCTGTTGTCAAGAGAATTTTCCGCTATTTAGCTGGAACTCCTGACCTAGGACTGTGGTATTCCAAGCATTCTAGTCTAGACTTAGTTAGCTACACAGATTCAGACTATGCACGCTGCGTGATTGATCGTAGAAGCACCTCTGGTGCTTGTCATTTCCTAGGTTCTTCTCTCATTTCTTGGTTCAGCAAAAAGCAGAACTCAGTAGCACTCTCTACTGCAGAAGCAGAGTATGTAGCTGCTGGATTCTGTTGCACTCAAGTGCTTTGGCTGAATATCAGTTAGTTGACTATGGAATCACCTTAGGATCTCTACCTATTTTCTGTGACAATACCAGCGCTATAAACATGTCTAAGAATCCTATTCAACATTCTCGGACTAAACACATTGAAGTTTGATATCACTTCATTCGAGATTTAGTCCAGGATGGTAAGATACATCTTGATTTTATTAGAACAGAGAGTCAATGGGCCAATATCTTTACCAAACCCTTGCCCTCTAATCAATTTCTACATATCAGGCGTGAATTAGGGTTATTCTCTCTCCAGGATCTGCCTAATTTTCAGTAAATCATTCTCCTCCTTCTCTATCCTCTAATTGATATTCCTTTCCTTTTCCTGATCTGCTGATGGATTCTCACCCTTCTGGCAACTTACCATGTTTCCTCTCGTCTTCTCTATAAGACTCTTAGACTTTGGGATTTCTCAGTCACTCATCCTCGTTCCAAACACAAACATTTTCTCTTCAAATATTCTCTTCATCATGGTGCTCAACAACCCGCAGCTCCATCTTGCTGTTACCTTCTCCAAAGGTATTCAGAAAGGATAAAGAGTTCTCTCGCTATGTACATCGCTTTCGTGATCGTGCTATTTACCCTTCCTTCACCATTCAGCCATTTGCCTTTTCAAGGTACGATATATATCTTCCTTGATTCGCAACCTTGGTTGGGAGTCTTTGTTTGAAGATCAATGGTTCACCTATTGCCCCGAGGCTGTGAGGTTTTTCTATGTAACCTCACCGTGGATCTGGCCCTGATCTCTATTCCTTCAAAACCACGGTAGGAAACCTTGAGATCACAGTCACTGCTGATCTGCTTGCCAGTGAACTAGGGTTGCCACACAACGGTCTCAAGGCAGGGGATGATGGACAGTTTCATGATTACAATTTTGACTATCATCATGTCCATAACTCCCTCGTGCATGATATTGGTCGATATTTTCCCAATAAACTTGATGTTCGGCGTCTTCCCGATGATCTGCGTGTTCTCCACTTCTTCATCACTCGGATTCTCCTTCCCAGATCTCTATCCAGTGCCACCCTACTGCACATAACTGATCTCTGGATCCTCCATCATGCACGTTCTGGCCAGGCTATCAGCTATGCATCCCTCGTCTTCTGCCATCTTGTCAAGTATGGAGATGACAATTATGATGGTTGGTTGCCTTTGGCACCTCTAATCACCCAACTGCTTCGGAAGTTAGGAGTTGATCTTCGTGACAAGGTCACACTCTGCAACGTCCATGATGACCTGAAAGCACAGCATGTTCTTGCTCGTCTCGACGCAAGTGTTGGACCCCGCAAGCCTGTCACAGGCTCAGGGGGAGAGGTTGCTGCTTTGGTCAAAGCTCTAGTGTCTGCTGCTGAAGTGGTTGTCGACCGCGAGTTAACTGGTTTCTCCAGTGAAAACCTTAAAGGTAAGCAGAAGATTCCTGTAACCACTCTGACATCTCTGTCTACTCGGTTGAAACTCATCAGAGATGGTAGCGGAGCAAGCTTGTCCAGTATCAGGGAGGAGGACGAAGCCGTTGAAGAATCTGAAGAGTTCAGGGATATCTCATATTATGATTCCCCTCCTCACTACCCCTTTTAGACCTAGTCTTAAGTCTCTTTTAGATTTCTGTCCAGGTTCTAGGTCTAAGTTACCTAGATCAAAAATCAGCCCTAGTTGTTCCCTGTACTGCTTCTCAATTTCTCTAATGAATAAAGTTGCACTTTGAGTAGAAACTGAATCCTTCTTGTAGAACAGGCTGCACCGATTTGTTTGCTGAGTTGATGCAGGTATATTCTGGAAGCAGCAGTCAAGGAGCCATTGACAAGCTTAGGGAGAGCATGTTGAAGGAAGCTCGGTCAATGGCCTTGATCAAGCAACTCAAACGGTGCAAATGGCTGATTTGGAAAGAAATCAAGACACGATGCATTACCATTTGTTTCTCAAGTCAAAGATAGAAAGTTTCTAAAAGAGACGTTGAAGAAAGCAGAAATATAAAGGAGCGGATCATGAACCAGCAACCTCACATTTTTCAATCAAACAAGGAGAGAAGAGCTGTGAATTAGCTAGAGTTCTTGTCGTGAAAAAGAGAGCATATTGAAGTGATTGCTTAGCTAACTAGGTTACGAACTTGCGTCCTTGAGTGAGAAGTTGAACCTGGTTAGGGTGATACACCAGCAGGAGGCTGAGAGTTTTCTGTTCAGTTTTGTAACAGGGAACTTGCAGAATCAAGTGATTAGTCATATGTTGAAGATCTCAAGAAGAGATTCTTCAACCGTGGATTAGTCAGTACAGGGATCCTTATTCTCCCTGTACTGGATACCACGTAAAATTCTCTGTGTCATTTACTTGCTTTCGTTCTTATTTTGGCTAATAATCTATCTGTGTGTTCTTGAGTTCTGCTTGGAACAGGGAAGGTGTCCCTGAGTCGAAGAGTTGGAGAAGAAGAAGAATTATTCTTCATCTCTGTTTGTCTGAGTTAAGTGCCTCGAGTACAGGCCTTTCAAAATTTCCTTATTGGGCCGAAACTTGAAAACCGAACAAACAGGCCCATTATTCATTTGTCTTCTAACTATCGATTGAGTACTCTCTCTGTTTCGTCTTTCATTCATTCGCAAACCAGTTTCATCAATCTATCACAAGTTCTATTTTAGGGTTTTGTATTTTTACAGAAAGAAAGTACAAGCATATCTCCCTCGATCTCGCGCTCGACCTCAGTTAACAACCGCCTCCCTGACCAAACCAGGCCTGCTCCCCTCCAATGCACAAACTCGTTCGATAATAGCAGCAACATCATTGGGAAAAAGTCAAAAAACAGATATGGAGGCAGTGAAAGAATTAAAACAGCACTGGAAACACGTGAAAGAATTAACATACTATTTTGCAAGCCTTCATAAAAACACATTTTTTTGCAAGATAATTGAGAACATCTCTTATTGCAATAATAATAATAACCAACCTAATTTGTATTATGAAACTATATCATATCGGCGTTGAAGGTAAAAATATCTTATCGCTAGACGGTTTTAGCGGTATTAACGTTTGAACCACGATTTCAATACAAAATACTCTATCATTAATTTTTTCAAATACTTGACCCGTACTAAGTACTAACGGTTTATTTCTTATCACAATTTCTTCTCTCAATACTTCCTTGTATTTTTTCGACTTCACTGTGTCTGGGCTTTTCCAAACTATCTCATCTCATCATTTTCAAATAAAGGTTAATGAAACAGATTCTATTTTTACAGAGATGGCTAGTGATCATCTTAAATAAACAAATATTGGACGATATATTACTGTTGTAATAATTTCAGCCATAAAAAATAATTATGAAAATGAGTTTAGTGACGAGAATTTTTCTTTACCGACGAATTTAGCCTTTGTCACAAATATTTGACGAAATATTACTAATGAAGATAAAATATTGTTAGTATAAGTACTTTTTAGCGACAAATTTCAGCTGTCATCGCTAATTTTCGTCACTAATCATAGTGTGTTGATGACATCCTATCAGAGTTAGTTTATGTTTGAGGTCACGTGTTCAAGTGCTCACGAGCCTCAATATTAACCGTTGTCTCAAAGCACATGGTATGGAGAGGCTTTGCAAAATTCAAGCCCATAAGTCGGCTTTCATTTGAGGAGGCATGGAAGAAAGTGATTAAGTACCATACACTAACCTCTTCCAACAACTCACGCTATTGGGACCAGTTGGTTTATGACAAGCCATTTTATTTATTCAGCGTATTGTTTCGGAATGCAAAGACAAAAGATATAAATTTAAGTTAGAAAACAGGAAACAAATTTAACAAATAAATTGAACTAGAGAATATTAAGGCAAAGATGAAGTATATACTCAAATGCGATGTTAATCGCATTCGTGATAAAGAACAAAAAAAAAAAAAAAAACTCGGGCGATGGGCCATGGTTTCTGCAAATGACATTGACTGTACTATTGACACAATAAGATACCGCATAATTGCAATTAAAATAATTGGTATTACAGCTTTACTTGGGATGATGTCGGCAGCTGGCATATTATTTGGAGATCTATATTGGAATACTTCCCCTTACATGATCCTGCTGAATAATATTCAGACATCTAACCTCCAATTGTCCTGTCCATCAAAATCGTATTCAAGAATGAACTATAAAATGCAATGGCTATCAGTCGATGTACATATTCATTGCAACAAAGAACTTATATAGCACCAACCACTCCTCCCTTCCCGAAAGATCAGCAGAAGAGAAGGAAAGGCACATTATGTTGACCAAAATACTGGCGGTTGTTCTTCTGGCACAATCACAATGGTGAGTACGTCAATGGCGTACAGGCTTCAGGTTAATGTTTCGAATCAGCTGAGTAGAGGTCGCAAGATCACGGTGCGATGCGAGTCCAAAGATGACGACTTGGGCTCGTCGCCTGGTCAACGGCGATGTATATAGTTGGAGTTTTTCACGCAACATTTTCGGTACGACGCTTTTCTGGTGTGATGTAGCTACCGCCCGCAGCAAGAAGCATCTTTCTTTCAATGCATACGACGAAAGCCAAAGAAAGAAAGGGATGCCCAAGCTTCATGAACTTACATGGGAGATCAAGGACGACGGCCTTTATTTTGCCGGTTTTCCCATTCCCATTGCACCATGGGTCTCGCAGTAATGTGCCTGTGATGTATTCTTTGGTTGTTGTTTGTATCAGTTTGGTTCATCGTACTGTGTCGCAACGTTGGTTTCATTTATGAATTGATGAATATGTTTTCTACGTAGCTGCAACTTGCAAAACATAAATTGTTTCAGCTTTAGCTATATCCCTAAGTTTCCGTGTGTTGTAAAGTTCATTAATTACTACCCTGGATTAACATGTTTTATCTAAAGGAAGTGAACTAAATGTAGTTTAAAGCTAATTTTAAAGGTTAAAAAGGTAAAAACTACCGTTTCAACTTTCATGTTCGTATATCAAGAAACATTTTTATACCCATTTTGGAGATAACCGTTCCGTACCAACTTTATTGGTATTTAATATAACAAAATATTGAATTATTGAACAATCGCCATTTAGGTTAACTCATAGCCTATATCTCTATTTGCCCGTATGCAAGTCACATAAACCAGAAAAGATAAGGTCCTCCCATAAGAGAATATGATATTTGTGTAATGATAATATAGTATATGATTTACAGGAATACATATTCGTCCAACAAGAAAAATGTATTCTTATAATGATAATAATATGAAATCAAACCTTCACGAATATGGTATTTATGTTATGAGAATATGATATTCTGAATGCTTTATGATATTTGTGGTATGAGAATATGATATTCTTGAAGGTTTGATTTCATACTCCTATTTATTATATGAATACATTTTTCTTGTTAGGCGAATATGTATTCTTGTAAATCGTATACTATAAACTATATTATCATCACACAAATATCATATTTACCACTTGGAGGATGTCCTCCCAACAGTAAGTGGGAGGACCATATCCGATCCGCACATAAACATGATAATTTACTCCACTTGGAGGACGTAGCTTCTATGCACGAATGTCAACACATGTCAACATCATAGCCATAAGTACATTTTATTTTAGGAGTTCATCACCCACAATTAATTGTTTCATTATTCAATGAGTTAATACCTTAGTTTGGCCTGAACTATACACATACTTTCTACTTTGGCCCGTGGTATTGAAAATTGCTATTCTAGTCTGAACTATGTAGCAAACTTTCTCATTTGGCCTGGAGGCAGGTTTGACGTCTAATTTGACGGTCAAACCTGTTGACCGTTAGTCAATGTCCACCTCACCTGCCACGTCAGTTTTGAGGACATAAAAAATTATTTTTTTTATTTATGAATTTTGTTTTCTTTAGATTAATAAAAATCATAAATCAAAAAATTAATTAAAAGAACGAAAAAAGGGCCCATTTTTTAGCAAATGACAAGAAATTTTGTTCATAAATAATAAAAAAAATAAATATTATTGTCCTCAAGGCTAACGTGGCAGGTGAGGTGGACATTGACTAACGGTCAACAAGTTTGACCGTCTAATTTAATGGTCAAACCGCCTCTAGGCCAAATGAGGAAGTTTGCTATACATAGTTCAGGCCAGAATAACAATTTCCAATACCACGAGTCAAAGTAGAAAGTATGTATATAGTTCGGGCCAAATTAAGGTATTAACCCTATTCAATCTGATTATAACACTATTAAAACAAGGTTTGAGTTATGGTACTAACGTACAGTTTTATAGTACTACAAAGCATAATTGGATGGTTTTAAATTGAGAGGAAAGTGATCTAATGGTCCTCTTTATTGAGGGGCAACGAGTGAAAGTAGGGGTGGAAAACGGGACGGGAACGGGTACCCGTCCTGTTTAAAACGGGTACCCATTCCCATTTGGAGTAGAAAATTCATCCCATATCCCAAACCCGTAGGGGTTAACGGGTACCCATACCCATACGGAACGGATAACGGGTACCCGATCTTACCCATAAATACCGTAAACTCAATATGTACAGCGCATTCCTAGTCCTGCTATTATTGTTCCGATTTGTAGTGACAAGAATTGGCTGATGCTATTATTGTTTCCGATGAATTTGGGATGGAGATGGCACAAAACCAAGCTCTTCTTGAGGAAGTAGCCGAGCTCTTTAATCAGTATACCACAACATGGCGAATATGAGGAGCATACCATCCCAAACGTGACCTGCACACACACAAAACCAGTAAGCAAGGAGAATTTTAGCGTCCTTGGGAAGTACATTTCGTTTGCTTTTTACGTTGATCACCTTACTTCTGATCTAGCAATGTTATGCAATCACGTTACGACGTATTGGCTCTATGCTGCCTCTTCCAAGTCCTCAGTCCTTGGTGTTCCCATGGACGTGCATAATGACACCTTTCCTTCTGAAATTTTAATCTCGTCAGTCAAACAGAGATCACAGTTTGGAAGTAGTAATGGGTATTACGGGTACCCATACTACCCAAACGGGATTCGCCGGGTACCAATATAGGATTTGGGGACCCTCGTTTGGTGTGGCCTCAGGATTTGCGATCTGCGTCTGGTTTGGTGGATCCACGAGAGATCCACGTTTGGGCTCATCTGGCGGATCAAGGGAGGTCCGCGTCTGGAAAGCAGATCAAAGAGGGTTCTGCATCTGGAAAAATCCTTGTAACGAGAAGCCCATCGATACAAGGTGTCTGGGCGGATCAAGATAATCGCTGAGGTGAGGACACGAAGTTCGTGGTCCTTGTCTTGAGGGGAGGATT